TATATTGTTCAAGTTATTTTAGGAGAATGTGTTACTTTTTAATATGTGGCATGTTGAATTGCTTAAATACACTAATAATAATTATTGTTCAATATTGAATTGACATCAATAGATTATTAATTGTATTTCGTAACATTTTAATAATAGATTTAATATGTCGCTAGTAATAACGATTTAGTATATTTCGTTAGTCTATGATAATTTTTTGTATTGGGAGACATGCACGGTAATTTACCGATACCGTACCGTTACCGAACCGAAACTTCGGTATACCGAAATGCGGTATACCGAAACTTCGGTAAGGTAAAGGTATGCAAATTTTGCATACCGAAAGTTTTGGTACGGCAAAGGTATGAGAAAAAATATAAGGTATACCGTACCGAACCACCCCTAATCAAACGGAACCAACTCTCAAGTATTATTAGTAATAAGAGCATTAAATTCCTCAGCCATTGCCTCGTACGTGCCATTTTAAATTTTTATGTGCCTTGGAGAAAGAAGTAGGATCTGCCTGATTAACAACTGTTTGCAAATTAAAAATTGTTTTAGGCTTAAAAATTTCAGATTTGGCCCTGGTTTGCGGATGACAGTTTGTGTGAGGGGCAGGAGGTATGGTCGCGGGAGGTGAAGAATTGACGGGCGAACTGGTAGTAATGACCGTGGTTAATGGAGATGAGGTGGCAGATGTGCCAGGTGGGCTAGGGTCCTGAAACTCGGCTGCTGCTGAGGTGAAATATAAATCTATGTGACCGTGAGTGGGAGGAGTTTGGGGTGATGTTGGTGTGGACATTTGGCCAGGCAGATGATGGGTGGACGAAGAATTAGCAGGTTACGTTGTTGGTTTGGGAGTGAGGTATTGGCTGGGAAAGGGAGTGGAGGAGGTATAGGAGATGCGTTCCTGGTCAAAACAGAAGCTGGAGGAAGAGTATTGGGCAGGCAAAAATAAGATAAAGGAGCTACAGAAGGATCAGAAAATCAGACTCGAGAGGAGTACTGCTAAGAGTGGTAAACGGAAAATTGTCTTCTATAAACCGAACATGACGACTGATATATATCCGACCAGATTTAGGTTCAAGAAAACGATATCCCTTTCCGACTAATATAAATCCGACTAATATAAACCCGAATTCCCGGAGACACTAGCCTTTCCGGAGGAGCGTGAACCGGAATCGGAGGAGGAGCCCGAGGAAGAACCCGACGAACCGGAGCTAGAACTCGACGAAATCTCCATCGAAGTCATTGTTGCAAGAATTCAAGACAAATAGAAGAAGCAGAGGAGGGAAAATTACCTTACGAGGAGGTTAGCGGAACTCGGAAGCGGGGTAAAAAACTCGAGGAGCAGCGGAGATTCTAGAGCAAGAGAGCAAAAATTGGGAACCCTAGTCCAGAGGGAAAACCCGGCATTTATAGGAGAAGCACCGATGGGGGAACCAACGAGGGGTTGACACGTAGCAAGGAGCGTATTCCGGCTCACGCGCTGTGCGTGGGATGGAAGCGTAATGATGACATTTCCTCGAAAAATGCACCGTCGCTATAGCAACCGTCACCTCGATTCCTGAACCATCGACAGCTGTTAAGCACCATGACCACGAGCGTACGCCTTGACCGGATGCAACAGACACAAGTACCAGGCCACGAGCGTCTCACCCTTGAGGGACATCATACTTCCTTATGTCCTGTGCATGCTCAGAACATCAGAAGTGGGGGACTTGTGTTGGGTTAATGGCCCAAGTTGAGGTTCGGCTCATTTACCCCTTCTTCCGGACGTACGTCCAGATAGAACTCTAGGCTAGCCTGGCAAGCCCATTTCCGCCAGGATGGACAATCGTCTGCAGATGGGGTTTAGGCTCAACGGCCCATCTCGACGAACGTCTATGCAGAAACAAGGAGCAGGACCACAGGCCACCAGAATGACGACGAACGTCGTCAGAACAAGCCCATAGCCATCGGAGGCAGTCCAGTCCACATGGCGAGAATCCTCAAAGGCCAGGGGACGAACGGCCAATACCCCTTGAAGGCCACCTGGAGCAGCTCACCCCCCGGGCGGACGAACGTCCCCACCAATTGGGCGGGAAACCTAGATTCTGGCGGGAAGTGCATTTAATGCTGAGATTTGGTGGTTGAGACACCAGCGATCCACAGGCTTCCACGTCAGTATAGCCAACTGCCCATTGGTGGGTATAAATAGAAGCATTTATTTCATTGTAAAGGGTTGACAACTTTCTATTCTTAGCACTCTAGCTTATAGCATTCTTACTCGCAGCACTTCCACGGCCTTGTAAGACGAACGGCCGACGAGCCTTAGTGAAAGTATTGTATTAGGGAGTTATTAACAGATAATAATACCTAATCACTTACTTGCTACTTATTGTTCTCCTTGACCCATATCACTTGCTAGTCGGGCTAGATATTCATACACACTCCACTCGAAATCCTTGGGCTTACGTGTTGGACCCGAGGGTTGAAGGAATAAACCTCAACAATGATTTATAATTAACTTGCGAGTTTTTTTTTTAAATTTCTGAATTCAATATGCCTTCATATTTTATTTAATATTTTTAGGTAATTGATTAACGATCAAGTTGTTTTTCAAAATTTTATTATAGCGTTTGAGAGAGTGGAATCAATCTATCCACCCGGTGTGGGAAGTTGAATGGGAAATTTGAAAATAAAGATAGAAAATACTCATTTTGTAGAGCGAAAAACGTAAGGCTTAAAGGGCGGGATTCGAACCTGGATGGCCAGGCTCAAGGGAGATACACTTCTCCAACTCAGCTACAACTTTAATTGTTAGGATGTTTTTACTTGGACTGTAATCTGTTCCAGATCTGATCAGACCAGACTTGGATAATTATAAATATACAAAGATAGTAGACCAGTTCAGATCAGATCAGACCAGACTAGCAAATTACAGTCCAAGTAAAAACATCCTTATATGCTAAATATTGAGCTTTCTATTTGTTGTTGTTGTTGTTATTAATTATTATTATTATTATTATTATTATTAGTATTATTATTATTATTATTATTGTTGTTGTTGTTGTTGTTGTTGTTGCTGCTGCTGCTCCTGGTTTTACTTTTATGATTATTACTATTACCGTTATTATATTATTATTGTTGTTGTATTTTATTGTTATCATTATCAATATCCTCTACATTGTCATTTGTGATAGAGTTGTTTCTAAAATATTACAGTAATAACATGTAAGGACAACAGATATGATTAAAGTGACCGTAAATATATTCTTTATTCTCTACAATGAAAACATTGAATGTATTTATAATCACAAAAAGTTACTAAGTCACATTTTTATCTACTGTTCTTATTTTGGTCATGTATTAGGATTATTTATTTTTATTAATATTAATAGTTTATGATTAATTAAACTACTTTTTAGGTCTATTTTTTGTGTAATTGGTAAATATATACTCCGTATTTGTCAGATTTAGGACTTGACAACTTTTTTTTGTTGAAAATCAAAAAAGTATATGACATTTTCGTGTGACATCATTTAATATTAAATTAAAATATTTAAAATAGCAATATAACTTCGTACAAATTTACATCGTATAACATCATTTAAAATACTTAATAATAGAAGGTTAATACTTCGTACAAATTTACATAATAACAATATAAGTTCAATATTTATACTAAGGCCCTATAATTGAGAAACTATTCCAGTTAAGTCAAGGAGCTTTATTCTTGATAACGAAAAAAAATATAAAAAATAGTTAAAACAGTCTTCTACAACAACTTCAACCAATACAGCCAGAAAAGTAACTACAACGTTACTTTTTCTTATTATTACACAATTCAGTTCGTAAAACCAAAAGATACGTGTTGGATGAAAAAGTTGGTTTATAAGCTTGAAAAACTAAAAATCATGGATACCAAACATGCACTAATGAAACGGAAGCACAGGCTGTAAATGATCCTGTTATGCGGCTTGTCATCCTGTTTCGCAATTCATTTTTTTTGGAAGAATTAGTAAAATTTATTTGAATGTTAAATAAATATTACGAAGTATTAAATTTATTTATTTATGAATGTTTTTTTTTTTCAAATAAAACCTAGGAAGGTACATTCGTAGAATTGTAGAATCATTTTTCTTATGTAATTTTGTGCATTATGTTATCTCAATGTTTTAATGGTGTATATTAAGTATGAAATGTTATGCTTCTATAATATTTTACTTTTTTATATTAATTGTATAGTAATTAGAGTAGAGACCCAAAGTGGATATGTGACAACTCCGGTACCCTTCTAAAAAAAATAGGGTACCGTATCTACCATTCATTTGATTGGACCACACCACTTTAATTTATCATTGTTACTTTATATTTAAATAATTCAACTGTTATATTCTCATTGGTCCATGTGAACAAAAATATGTTACTTTATGGGTACCATAAATCTACCAAATGGATATTTATTTAAACCATTAAAGTGATACGTAGTTACGCGCTTGGGATAATTTTATGTCTGTCTTCATTATTATTTTGTGCGTTCTAATTTGATAATCGAGATTCTCACTTTTCATTTTTTTAAATCCGAGTTTGATATTATTTCGTTCACATTTGAACAAATTTTTATCTGATATTTTTATTTTACAAAAAATCGTGTAGGTATAGATTAAATCCCAAAGATAAAAGGGAGCTACAATGAAAGAAGGCCACAAAAAGTTGACAATAAAAAGAGTTATTCACTTTTTTACACACTTTTGTACACACATTTGTATATTTGTCTGTGTACACAGGCAATTAGGAAACAAATGTTATCCTCTTCTTAACGAATTGTCTGTGTATACAAGCAAAATAGGGGGATGGGTACAAAAATGGGTAAAAAGTAGGTACAAACACATTTTTTGCAACAAAAACTGTCACTTTCGTTTGTGTTGTTTTAGGTGACCAAGCAATTTAACTTTTCCAGTCTTCTGCCATCACTTCGTGCTTAAATTTGGTTGCGTGCTTTAGTTTTCCACTTCAATCAATTCTATTATAAATAGAGAGCCATAAATCATCAAAATGCCACACACTAAATCATCGAATTGAAGTACAAACTTACACATTAAAGCTTCTTGTTTCTAGCTACCTTATTAGCTTCTCCGGCCGGCAGCCTTGTGTATACAAAGCATGGAAATCAGTGGAAAGATCTACGCTAGAGTCCGGTTAGCCACCCGATCCGACATAACCCATATTGACAAGCTTTTTTATCAAATCCATCAATACCACGAGTTGACTCACCTCTACAAAGTGAGTGAGGAATCCTTGTCCAACATGCTCTTCGGATCAAACCCAAACCCTCCTTTCTACTCCCCAACCATTCTCCTCCTTGAGGTCTCCTCATCCGAGTTCCCTACTCCTACACCCGATAGTTCGGGTTTCGAGCCCATCGTCAAGTCGTTGGACCTGAAAGCCCCCGTTTTCGATAATGAATGGGAGCAGTTCAGGTCCAACGTTAACGACCACGAGGCTTATATAGCTGGGTACGCCTTCTTCTTCCCCAACTACTCCTGCTTCTACGACCGGCCCGGGATTTTCTTCGAGAGCCTCTACTTTCGAGCGAGCTACCGAAAGTTAGGGTTCGGGCGGCTTCTCTTTTCCACCGTGGCTACCAATGCTGCCACCAAGGGGTTCTCGTCTGTGGAGGGGATCGTGGCGGTTTGGAACAAGAAATCGTATGACTTCTATGTCGGCATGGGCGTCGAGATCATGGACGAGTTCCGGTACGGGAAGCTCACGGGAGATGCTCTTCAGGCGTATGCTAAGGAGAGTGCTTGATATAATTGCATATCCTTAGAAACTATTCCGTGGAATAACAAGTGAAATAGTTTTTTTTTATAAGGTTTTCTGTTTGGTTTGATTGTCGCTTTAGTCAAATAAATTATTCCCTCCATCTAAAAAAAATGTAGTCAAGTTTGGCTAGCATGTAAAATACTCTATAAAATAAAAATTGCATGGTTAAAATTTGTGTGGAAGAGAAAACAAAATGCTTTAACCACCTATTTATTACTTTAGCAACTATTGTGCCGGTGACACTTTTGGTATACTCGACTTTGAAACTTTCCATTTTTAGTCTGTCAACTATTGTGCGAAAGACACTTTAGATACCCGTCTTTGAAAATTTCTATATTTAGTCTTTCGACTTTTATAGAAGTGACACTTTTGGTCTTTTAACTATTGTAATAGTGACATTTTTAGTCATTCACTTATTGTGTCAAAATCATATATAGTGGAAGGACTAAAAGTGTATGTCAATTTAATACTACCTTCGTCCTACTATATTTGGGACAATTCGGTTTACGATGCTTGACCAACGATAAAATAAACAAATTCCTGTCCGCACTCAAATTAATTTCAGAGAATTTTTACTACATATTCAGAAACTATATTAAAAATTTTACAAAGGCGCAAAAACCAGAATCAAATTTGATAAAAAAAAAATTAATATATAAAGTAAGATATTGAGAGTGATTTGTGTTGACCAAGTGAATAGTGTATGGGACAATCTTAGCAGGACAGAAGAAGTAATACCCAATGGACTAAATGTGGGAAATTCGGAAGTCAATGACTGGAAGTGTCTCTTGTACAATAGTCGAGGACAAAAATGAAAAAATTAAAAGTCAAGTATCAAAGGTGTCACTGAAACAATAGTCGGAGGACCAAAAGTGGCTAACATAGTACAAAATATACATTTTATAACTATCATTTCATATGGGTTCATAAAGAACCGTAATGGTATGCAGCCGCGGGGCTATATTTCTAAATAATGAAAGATTGGTGTGGCTTTGGAGGAGAGTTAATAGAAATACAAAATGTTATCCATAACGCATAAAACAAGAACCGACATAGAAAGCAAAACTCGGGGTAGTATTCGTAATTTATATAAAATGAAAACACATTCGGTGCCTTTTTTATAATTCTAACAAAATGGTGTTACTATGTCCGTTTATTTTAACCGTTGTTGAAATAAGATAAAGGTTAATTTATTGTCCATACCGAAGGTACCAGAGACAGATAGGGGTGGGAAAAACCGACCCAAAACCCGATAACCGAACCGACCCAACCCGATATATGATATTGGTCCGGGTTTTATTTTAAAAATGACCGGTCCGGGTTGAAATACCCGACCCGAACCCGAAAACTCGGGTCCTAATTCGGGTTCTAAAATTTTAAGCCCGACCCGGACCGAAAAAACCCGATTTAGTTAAGAAACTAATATATATATATATATATATATATATATATATATATATATATATATATAATATAAAATATGTATGACCTATTAATACATCATACCAATTTATATGTGTGTGTGTGTATGATACGTACGGACTATTTTATACTCCATCCGTCCCAAATTGATTTGCAAAAATGACTTTTTTAGTCAAACAATTTTATTTTATTCACTTAATTTGGATGTCAATTTTTAATTATATTTAACTTGGAGTTTGCAACTTCGAATATATTTTAATGTAATTTGTTAATATGTAAATTTTAATTATAAAAAATTGAATGATGTATCAATATGGAGTATTTAACTTTAACATTGGTTTACCAAAAAATCTTGACTTTGTAAATCAATTTGGGACGGAGGGAATGTTACTTTGCTTTCGAACCAATTGTTCTTCTACAACATTTTCTATCGTGTGATTTTTATATTCAAAATATACTGCTTTAATTTTAATATACTACGTATATTTTTTTGATTAAAAGTTTAGATGTTTGCAATTTTTGTTGTAATTGTATTTTAATTGTGTTTAGATACATCAGTTCGATTTTTTGCGGGTTCAATACGACCCGACCCGAACCCAACCCGAACCCGAGGCTCTTAAAACCCGGACCAACCCGAAAGTATTGGTCCGCCGATCGGGCCCAAAAATGTAGAACCCGAAGCTTTTCGGGTTTTTTACGGTCCTAACAAAAACCCGACCCAACCCGACCCGATCCCACCCCTAGAGACAGATTACAGAAAAACCCTATCGAATGAAGATAGGATAGCTCAAGAAGCTGCGCCGCCGCTCTCTATTGATGACCCGCGAAGATGGAGGAACTCGCCGAAAGCTCCGCCACCATCTCTCTCCATAGATAACCCGCGAAGATGGAGGAACTCGCTAGAAGCTCTGCCGCCGTCTCTCTCCATGGATGACCCGTGAACATAGAGGAATGCGCCAGAAGCTCTGCCTCCGCCTCTCTCCATGGATGACCCTCTCCCTTACATTATTAACAGTCGGTGACATCACCTAGAACAGCTCCCCTGAGAGTAACCCCTCTTAAGTCACATCTGGGTAAAGATACATTTCCTTGCTATATTATACGGAGTACTTCTTATACGGAGTATATATTATATATTATATTTTCTTAGATTCTGCTTTTATGTTTATGTACACTCCATTCATCTTTTTGTATGTGTTTATTTTCTAAATTTTTAATGGAATTGAAAAGGTTGAAGTATAAGCTTTTTATTCTTTTTATCATGCCTATGTGATGTTCGTGAAAATGTCTTTAATTTTGAAATGAGAGTGGGTTCAAAATCTCATTCTTGTAGGATTAAGCAAAGGAAGAAGAACAGTTATCCAATTATCTTCACTAGTGTCTAATGATCTCCGAACCTTCTTTTTGTCAAAGTGAAACTTGTTTGTACTACCTCCAAACAAAGCAATACCTGGCTATTCTTGATTATGGTATAAGTGTAATGAGAGAAGAAGATAAATCAGCTCCTTTTAAGGTATCATCATTGTCCATATGTGTTTAGTTGGAATCTTTCAAAAACACTTGTAATTTTTCACTGCAGGAGGAGATGGAACCCGGCAATGTGCTTTGGATATGGGCTAAAGGTTCAATTTTGGGATTGATTAAGAAGGCAAACCTGATTCCTATAAGGTAAAAACCAGAACATGGAAATTGAAATTTAGGAATAGAAAACTAGACTGCCACTTTCTTCATGACTGCAATTACGTTTTATTAGATTTATGCTCTCAAAAACCTATCTAGCCAATGATGAGTGGAAAGAATATCTTAAATGAGTAGTATGATGTGAAACATATCAAGTAATAAAGAAGAGGGGTGGCTATGGATTGCGGAATGATGAAGATAGTTTTAGGAATGAAGTGTTGGTTGTGTGAAGTGTAGGCTTATAAGTTCTGGACACCATACAAAATATAGGGATTATTAATATTGTCTTCTCATATAGAGATTTTGATTGTTAGAGGTACTAAAGTATAGTAAATATTAATAATGAGGAGCTCTCCTAAAAGTCATTGGAAAAAATGCAATTCTTTTATTTAGGAAATTGGCTCTTATTGGCCTTAAATACTACAAAAAGAAATCACCACTATTAGTTGATATAGTCAATTATGTATTTTAAATCACTTAGTATTTATTAAAATTTATAATTTAGAGAACATACTAAATGTAAATTTATCAATTTCTTATTAATTCTAAATATGTACATCACAAAAAGAAACGAAATTTGTTCAGCAGTACATGTATTATATTTCTAAGCTACTTTTTCTGTTTTTATATATTTTCCTTATGCTTGCTTTTATATAAGTATGCTTACTTTTATTATTATTCATATTGCAGGTATTCAATATTTATGCAACATGATATCAACAAGCGGCAACAGGATCTCACATTGTTTCTCTGTGTCAAGCATTTGATAGTAATTTTATTGGATGTTATTAGTAGGTTTTAAAATGATATGTAATACTTGTTGAATATTGTTGATATAGTACGTTACTATGTGGGAATATTGTAATTTTACAATGAATGATTAATAGCATGTGGTTGATATAATTTGCCTAAATGTTGTCATTTTTGTTGTTAATTTGAAAAGTTAAACAAACAGGCTTGTAAAAGTAATGGCAAAAAAACAAAAAAAAAATATTAATTATTCAGTAAATCAATGCATAAAGCATTCTCCGAAGGTTATTTATGACTTGGAATTTATATTCAATCGTGGTTGATCAATATAACCCATATTGAATGTGTTCTTGATGTACATAACATTCAATAACGGGTAAGATAATAACCTATGTAAAAAGCTTTCAATAACGGTTCCTTTACCCCATACGAAAAGTATCGTACTTTTAATGTCGGCGGGATCTATGTCGGATCTTACTTTAAATGGAAATGACAAAAATTTTAGGAATAACAAAAAAATCGACCAGGTTTTATAGTATGAAAAAATAAATGAAATTTTCAGATACAATATTCGTTTATCTTGTTTGATATTTGCGAAAGTTTCCGAAAAATAGGAATAAAATGTTTGAGATCTCAAAAATGAAACTGCTATATTTTCCCCCGAAATAGGAGTAATGATTCAATTTGAATTTGAATCATTACTTTCAAAAAAGTTGCAGTACTAGAAAGTAATATGACATTATTTACTCCCAGATACTAATGCCAGTATTTTTCAATCATGACAGTAATGACTTTTATTTCGCAAATAAAAACATAGTACTCCTATTTTTACATTCTAGAACTCCTACTTAGGACAATTTCCCTTGACTTTTCACAAGGACACACTAATATATTGGTTTACATATGCTATTTTCTCAATTCTCTACAAATTTGAAGGCTTGTTTATTGATACTGAAATCGGTTGAATCTGCTGAAGTTTATGAAGCGATGTTGATTGCTGAATTTGCTGACTTATGAGAGAATTATATTTTATTAATACAATTAAGAAAAAATTACATGAAAATAGCTAAATTAGTCTTCTATAATAACTTAAGCCAATTCATTTAGAAAAGTAACTCCAACCTTACTTATTTAGAATATTACTCCTCAAAATAACGTTTGAGGACATAGTACTGATAAATCCATTTTTGTACTTATTTTTCTTATCAAATTTAAGTGATTTTTGATCGAAAATAGAAAGAAAAGGCATGTTTTAGACATTTTGGTTCAAGTTTCATGAAATCAGGTGAAAACCACATTCATAATATGTTTGCCGGAATTTCGGGTCAAAAGAGCACAAAATGAGTCAATTTGAGTAACAAATGAATTCATACCGGAAGAAGCAATCATTATTTCAAAGTGATCCAGAAGACAACCTTGAAGAGCAGGAAACGCAGCATTTGCCAGACAAATTTAGCAGAAGGCACCCAAAAAGGCCCCCAATCTGGCCTCCTGCTTGGCCGCCTTTGAACAATCAGAAGTCAACAGTTGACTTTGACCCGAACTAGCAGAAGGCGCCCAAAAAGGCCCCCAATCTGGCCGCCTGCTTGGCCGCCTTTGAAAAATCAGAAGTCAACAGTTGACTTTGACCCGAACTAGCAGAAGGCGCCCAAAAAGGCCCCCAATCTGGCCGCCTGCTTGGCCGCCTTTGAAAAATCAGAAGTCAACAGTTGACTTTGACCCGAACTAGCAGAAGGCGCCCAAAAAGGCCCCCACTCTGGCCGCCTACTTGGCCGCCTTTGAAAAATCAAAAGTCAACCGTTGACTTTGACCCGAACCAGCATAAGACGGAAGGCTGCCGACGGAAGACGGAGGGCGGCCGCCCTCAGTGGCCGCCTGCGGCACAAGGGGACGAAGCCAACCACAGGCCGGTGCGATTCGACGGCAGGCGGCCAGACAGAAACGGCAGGCGGCCGCCTTCTGGACCGCCTGCGGCTGACGGAGACCGGTGCGATTTAAGCTGCCGGCGACAAGACGGAAGGCGGCCAGATTTGGACGAAGGGCGGCCGCCCTCTTGGGCGCCTGCGAGAAAATTTTGGCTATAAATAGCAGGCTTTTTCCTCATCTCAAACACACCAATTTCAAGCCCAAATCAGATCAAAAAGGGCGTCTTCTTCCTCCTCAAAGCTCGGATTTCCACCATTGTTGCACCTTGAACTTCAATCTTTCATATCTTTCTCATTTTAGCTCCAAATTGTGAGTTCTTTATATGTATTTTCATCCTTTCAATGAGTAGAATCTGAATCTGTACTTAGTTTTTTCTATATGTGCTTCTAAAATTTTCAGAAAATTATTCCACTATTTCGCATTTTCTTCTTAAATTTGAATAAAATAGTTGTTGACATTAAATCCATTCCAATTAATTATATAGTTGTTTACTAGCCTCAAGGTAGTTATTTATCAAAACAAAGTTAATTTTTACGAAGTAGAAGTAAATTTTAATTAATTCCGGCATTTAGTTGTTATTATTGCATAAATTAAATTAAATTAAATACTCAAACAGGAAAAAAAATTAGTTTCTATCCTAATTCTAGTTTAATTCACAGTAATATCACTCCCAGTAGTCAATATAAAATTTAGAACGAATTTAGAATAATTTTAGTTGCTTTTTGCATTTTCTAGTTAAAATTGGGAAAATTATCAATTAGTTGTTAAAATTGGATTTTAGGTTCAAAAATTCGTGAAAAATTCCATAAAGTTATACTTCAGTTTCTACAAGTTTATTGTTCCAGAATATAAGTTTTGCTATCATCCATGTTTAATTCCTTGTTAATGTTGAATATATTCATTATATTGTTAATTGTTAAAATGATCTTTATTAGCTAAATTTGTTTTGGGCATGAATTGACTAAAGGAATATGGATTGACTTGTTGACCAAAAAAATTAGGGATTAAAATTAATAATGGGGACTAGTTGTTTGAAATGATGAAATAGTAATTAATAATTGTTAGCCATATTCATTAATTAAATTCTTGGAAAATTATCTCTAACTTGTCTATTAGATTAGAAAATAATTTAAGCCAACCATATTCGAGCACATTAATAAGGCCTAGAAATAGGATAATTTAATGAAAGGGATTTACATCTTGTCTATGAGAGATAAATTCAATTGCTTAAATAATGAGTTTAACTAGTTAATGAATTTGGCTATTTTTATTAATTAAAATATTGGAGAATTATTTCTACCTTGTCTATGAGGTTAGAATTTAATTCAAGCCAACCATTTTTGAACACATTAATGACACCTAGAAATAGGATAAATTAATGAAAATAGTTTCTATTCTTGTCTATGAGGAAAGAAATTATTAGTCCAATTTTAGTTTTAATTTCCCTAATTACTAGGTCCAAGAATATATCCATTTCTAATTACTCAATTCATTGCCCTTATTTGCATCAATCCATTTAAGTTTAATATTATATTTTTCCCTTTAGTCTATTTTTGAGACATCATTAGTATTTGCACAATTTAATTTACTTTCTTTTCCAAAAAGTAGTTTAGAAAATCAATCAAAAGTTTTAATTTGGAAAGCTTCCAATAATTTGCGATAACCTGTGACTGGACTTAAAATCAAGAAGCTCCTCCGCCATTCCTCGAGAGACACGATACTCGGGGAAAAACCGCAAGGTTAGACTCCGTTTTACTACAACGCCGCGAAAGCGGTTATCAAATGGCGCCGTTGCCGGGGAATGGCACGGTGATTTCTTGATTTTGATTTTGGCATGGGCGAATTCAAATTAGGGAGACTTTCTTTCTCTTTTTCGTTTTGTTCTCACGTGTTTGCTTGAGATTTCCTCATGGATTACTCAAGTGAACACTTTAATTCTCAACCACCATATCACTATCTATACTATGAACAACAAACTTTTCAAAATAATCAAAATGAAGGATACTATGAGCAAGGTTATGAGGATAACAATCATGGTTATCAATGGTGCGAAAATCCGCCTTTGGGGTATGGAGATTACCGATTTCAAGAGAATTATTTCCACCAAGGGCAAAACTTTGAAGGCTGTGATGATTTCTCCTATCAAGGTAATTATCATGATGATTTTAATTATCATGAAAATTACCAAGAAAGGCTAGAAAATCATTACACCAGCACAAACGAGTACTCCTACGAGGGTGACTCTGGAATTTCACCTTATCCTCAACACGAGCTCGAAGAGTTAAAATCATCCTTACTCGATTTTGTGGAAGAATTAAAAAGGGCAAGGATTGAACTAGCATCTCGTGACCAAAGTATCAAAGAATTGTTTGAACAAATCAATTATGGCAATGAGCACAAGGTTCAAGAGGAGACATACGAGGGAGGTACTAAATTTGAGGAGGAGGCTACGGTAACTATGGGAGAGATGGTTGAAACTCTTTTCACCCCTATTTCTTTTGAGCCTCTCATTGCTACTGAGCTAGAGCCTATCCTCGTAGAACTTAGTTCTCAAGAACCCCATATGAAAGGGCCCAATGAGGTTGATGAAGAAATCATAGATGATGAGATACTTTGTGATGAGGAACCTACCCTACCATCTATGGATGACCTCTCACTTAAAAAGTCCCTGAAAGATAGCCTTGATGATGATTTTGATCCTACACAAGCCCAAGCGCCTGTTGAAGTAGTTGATGAAACTTGTGATGTGGAGGAAACAATGTCCGATAATGCCTTCTTTGATTCTCTACTTGATGATGATGAGCATAGTTGTGCCAGGCAAAGATCTGTTTGCCTAGATGATATTTGTGGGGGTTGTGAGTTAGGAAGTTGGGATGCATTCTTAGAGAGTGACACAGAGTCTAAACTTTGTGATTTTCATGTTGAGGGCATAGATGAAGAAGAGAAAACCCATCAAGAGGAGTATGCAATCTCTATTCAAGCTGCTTCTACCTTGAAGGCTCATTATGAGCGGTTGGAGACACCAGAGGCACCTGATCCTGAAATACTTGTTGATTATACTAATGAGAGTGATGCAGGATATGTGTTAATTCCTTGTTCGAACGATGTGTTCTTTGAAGATTATATCACATTTTGGTGGTCACAAGAGTTCAAGGGTCTACGCCATCTGACGGCATACGTAGAGGATAAGGTGGAGGCACTAATGATGAGTGCTCCACAACTGACATGCATAGCTGAGAGTTCTCTCTCAAACGTCAAGCTAGT